TACCTTCTGAAAATCTGCACCGTCCGGTAAAGGATGCAAATTGAGTTCAAAACGCTTTCTTCTTGTTTCAATAGCAGCAAAAACTTCAAATTTCACCAGAGAAGAATTAAAATAACTTATTTTCGCTCGAAGTAATTGAACCGAGGTAATCTTAAGAGCAAATGAGATTCGTTATAGGTATATTCATGTAATGTACAAAGACGTCTCAGCTAAGTTACAAGATAAATTGATGTGTATTTGACTTCTTCAGTTCTGCCGGATTATAGATCATGGGCGTAGCCAGCACTTCCGCCTAGAGGGGTAGCGCATTCACCAAAAAATGTTAGAGGAAACGTCATCTGTCAAGAGATAACTGAACTTTCCTTAGTTCTTAGTATCTTCTTAACATGTTTTGCTAAAAGGGTTCAATCCTGGGGTGTAGTCAGTACTATACCTGAGGCGGAAACGCGCGGATCCTCATACATATGATGCAGCATTATTTATACATATAGTAAAATCTCTTCAACTATTATATTTTTAGTATATTAGAATAGTAAGCAAACAAAACAGGTGTTATCCATCTTGTAGGACACTTTATTGGATAAAAAGAAGCCAACATATTAGCACTAAAAACTGACAAAACAATCCATACCTGATAGCAGTAGTGCCAGTAAAATAAACGTTGTTTAAATATAAGAAGGAAAGTACAGAATTGCACTACGTCGAAAGATCGAACTTTCTATCTTTTTTCTAGACAAGGCTTTCAACAATATTGTTGGTTCTGATAGAAACTATCAACCAGGTACCGACTGTATCAATGACTTTTGTAAAGCTGTTTTTGAAATGGTTTTATTAATTCTTTCGTAAGCCTCCATTGCCTTTAAAAAGCATAAGTCCTGGTTAGGTGCTTTTACCGCTAAAGTGCATTGCAACCATGGTTTCACGTATGATGTCACGTCAGGCAGATATCTAACAAAGCTGCCTTATACTTATTAGGAAGATTGAGCTGGGAACCTGGTAACGCTATTTTTAATTAATAGTTTGCTCTTGCCATCCATCGAGCTTGATGCATGGCGCCTGGCGGTCGAATCTTAAATGTTTTCTCTGTAACTCCGCCAGGAAACATTATTGAAAGTTCTATTAACTCTTGATAGTCGCCTCTAGCAACGTCTTTGGTCAATTCATGTCGATAAAATTCTGGCAGCTTGTCAGCCTCTGAACTATTCCGGAATGATAGCTTTTCAATATAAAGTATTTTCTCGGGATCCACTCTTTTCCAGCTCTCGCGAATTTTTTTAAACATTGGAATGACAGGGCTTGTAGTCACTTGGTCGATCTTAGATTCAAACATGCCTTTTAACAACAATTCGTAGACGTATGGTGGCAAGAAAAAATAAGCATTTATTTATTAAGTTTCTGTTCGAGAAGCACGCAGGCACCGTTAATGCGACGCATATTTGAAGCAGTAGTGTTACAATAGAGAATCTGAGCTTTATATTCAAGACTCCAAATAATAGCATCCCAAACTGCCCGAGCCTGCTCGCTGCCTCAAGAGTTATTCAATTTGGGCACAGCGATAAGTTGCTCTTTATTTTCATACGTTATAACAATCGGTAGACGCTCTTCTTTAGACTTGCGTGTATTTAAAGGTGGCAACAATTTGCCATCCCAGTGGACAGCTACAGTATCCGGTACCTCGCTTTGGAAATAAACCTTTTTAGCTTCTGCGCGCTCCTTTCGCTTTTCGTTACGAATTCTTTGAATGAAGGGCTTGCCTATAGGAAACTCGTCAGTGCTATGTCCAAGTGCCTCAATGTTCGTTTCAAGAATAAAAACTGTATTTGTCACACTTAACTGACACCTATCTAATGCTGGCAGTAATTTTGGAGTTGTGAAACTGTTCCTCATTTGAGTTTGGTTAGTATCAGGCTGTGTTCTCTGAGTTGGGATGGCCATAGTTTCTTGTAAATCTGTCTCGGAATCTGAAGATGAATTTTCTTGCACTGGTTCATAAGATAATATTGGACGAGTTAAGGAAGCAACATATTTAGCTCACCGCTTTTGTTCTTCGGTGTTCCTAAGACGCGCTCCTATTCTTCTTTTATGGCTAATTTCTTGTCCACCCCAGCTAAAATGACCATGACGACCTGGCTATCTCTGCCTTCATTTATTTTCGTCAATTGTAGGGTATTGGCATGCGCAATATCAAATAGATTGTACGAGTTCGTAACAAACTCTTGTCGACGTTGCTCAAACACTTCTTGTGTTTTGCTTGCAACTTTTTTGCAAATTTGTCCAAACTGGGTATACACGCCTTTTCCCAGTAAATAATGCACTTACGAATAGTAAGGTTGGCGCTCTGATTGACACTTAATTTCACTTATTATAGAACAAAAGTGCTAGTATTTGTCCTTTAGAGGGAAGTTTTTGACCAGTAATTTGATGCTTTGCGTCCTCTATTAAAAATATTCCTGTTTTGGAACTGCGTAATTCATTTGACATGTTGACTGAACGAAAACAGTGCGCTTACTAATAAAACAAACGATCACTGCAACACTTTAGCTAGCGCGCCTCTAATATGCAAGTTTTGACATGTTTGCAATTGTTTTGATATTGTTCAAGCAAAATCAGATGGTGTGTTTGACAAAAAGACCTTTAAATTTATTGGGACAACATAGCATGTAAATAAATGAAATATGATTTAAAAGAATATAAGGAACTCATACAAGGGACTTGTAAATACAAAACTAAACTAACGAAACGTCGATTTTTCGTAAACAAAAACCAGGAACCAACTTGACAAGAAAAGAAGCTCTAAAAGAGCATTAGGAACTAATACAAGGAACTTGATAATACAAAACTAAATCTACAACAAGAGGTCGATCTTCAATCTGTTTGCCAAACAAAGCGATCAGTATTGTTGGTTCTGGTAGAAGAGATCAATACCATGCACCGATAGCATCATTGAAATAAGCTGTAAAAGAATATAAGGAACCATGAACTTTTTCGTACAATAAATATCAGGTACCAAATCAAGTTAGTTACGCTTGGAATTTTGATTTCTGTGTCACATAAACTGATAATAAACATTTGAATGAAAACTGAAAAACCAAAATAGCGCAATGAATCTATTTTTCCAATTAATAAACACCAAGCTTAAAACGTCTCGATTTTGAGAAAATACAGAATAATTCAAAAAATCGACTCTGGCTCTGGATTTTTTAACTTTTGGCCTAATTTCACGTTACTCCAGAATAATTTTGTAATTGTGCAATATTTCATTGAAATCGGTTAACTAATGCCTGAGGTGATATTCAATATTTGGCGTGTTTTATAAATATATCCGTAAAAACTAAGTTTAGAGCTTTTTTATTTCCAAATATGAAAATCTTTCGGTTCTTACTGCCTACCTGCCATTTTACTATGTCTACATACATATTTACCTTCTATCTCCGGAATTTGGATACCTGAGAAATACATACATACATAGGTGTAATTGCACGCTTGCCCAAAACAAAAATCCACTCTCCAATAAATAATGATTTTTGGAATCAGCATCAGTCATGAGTCTGGGGGGCGGTAATTACCCCCTCTACCCCTCCCCCTTGACTACGCGCTTGTCTGTGTCCCTATGTTTTATATTCCTGAATATCCATTTATTGGAGAAACGCACCAACAACAAATTGCCTGACAAAATAAATCTATATTCATATCTATTTTTTTAAAGTGTGATAGGTACTGAGTAAATTGCAAATATCTCGCCATTCTTCTGTTTTAAGAAACGTGATAGGGAAAAAGCGACTTTCATATTTTTTCATTTGAAGAATTATTTTGATAACTTAAACAATATGCAAGAATCAATCAAGTTATTTGAAGAAAAAGCAAAAACTAACCAAACTATATCTAAAAATTAAATTAAAGAACATTTTCCGGCACTTTCTTCTTGTTTCATATAACTATTGATTTGGTTGTCATCACCAAAACTATTGAAACTATTGCTGACGTCTCACTTTTCTGGAGCTCGTAGATTTATTTGACTATAACCTCAGAGAGAGCATAATCAGGGAGGCATATCGAAAACATTTCTCCCATTCTGTTTTAAGGGCAAGTGTATGGGAAAATCTATGGTCTGTGAAATAGGTTTAATAATAATAATAATAAATAAAAATGAGATATACCCTCCCCCGCCCCTACAACTCCCAATTATTTGCTACTACAACCGTTCTGAAAATGATCAGGAATCTCTGAAAAAACAAAAAACGAAATTTTAACAAATTCTAATTGTTCGTTTTCCTCCCGTAGCTCCACCGCCACTGAGCCGATTTTCAAAAACTACAAAGTTATCTCCGAGCGGTACTTTACAAGTTATAGACGGGTCAATGATTTGTGGACTAACAGCCGGCAGGCAGTCAGACAGACGGACCGCCGGAAATCTGTGACATGGTTTTTTGTGATGTACATGTCATATCACAAAACATTAAATCTCATTTTCGAAAGTTTTTGCAATTACAATATTTCCTCGGCAGTAGGCGTTAGATGTAAAACACGTTTGCGCTATTCCTGTAGCATTTACCTAAGAAGTAGAGAGTCTTCGTTCACTGAGAGGATTTTTCAGAGCTATAACGTATCCGTATTAAAATCTCATATGCAATATTTGTGTTATACAGTTCAAATAAGGTTCTTCAATTCAGGGGTAACCTGATGCAGACAGCTCAAGGACCTAAGCAAACACGTCTTATTTCAATAAATTGTACTTGAACAGCTTTACTTCTTCCACAAATATCATTTTATGTACGCCTGGAGTGATGTTCCTTGTCCGTAAATATATCATGGAGAGGATCGGTCCGAATGAATATGAAATAATAAATTTTGATCACGCAGGAAACAAGAAAATCCGGATTATACGAATCTTTGCACCATTATTCATATTTATTGGTTATCCATACAGGCCAGACATGAAGCCGTAAATTAATAAAAATAAAAACTCGAACAGAATATTTTCACATAAAACCATCCTTCAGGACATCAGTATCGATCCTGGGAATGTTCTCTTGTGATGTGAGTTAAGTCTGGAATAAGAATCTTCCACGGAACTTCCGTCTTTAGTGGAACATGAATGCAAATCTCAAGCCTACCTGACAAAGTAGAATCTGAGGATGGACGCTCGCAGCCCAAAAGGTTTAGGCCAAGAAGTAGGGAGATTTTGTATAAGGTAATCTTACAACTTGGGCGATAGTATTTTTTTGGCGATATTGCTAAATTATTGCTTCCTAATGTAAAGTTCAAATTGGCGTCATGATAGGACTGGAGCATTTTTTGCAATTTTGATCGAAAATCTGGAAAACCATCGATTCTATGTAAAAAAATAATAGAAACAATTTTGTAGAAAAATACATTCTTCATCATTTTGCTTTTATAAACATTTGTCATATTGTCGACCGATTATGAGAAATTAACGGGTAAAGGTACATATAATTATATTTCTGCTTATAATGGCTGAACTAAAAATCTACGTCTGATAATAATAATAGTAATAGCGGTGGTGCGAGGTGAAGCCTGGCAACTAGGTCACATTTGACCCTTTTCACCGATCCCGTAGTAGCAACACTGTACTACTACTCTACAAGCCATCTACTGGCAACCGGTAACTGTTATAATAAACCAGCTTCAGTCATGAAATGTACCTATTACAGGGTTGCCATATTGGGGGATTTCCCCGAAATTTGTTTTTTTTTTTCTTCCTTGGAAATTTTTGGGGAATAATATGTCTTTCCCAGGATAAACTTTCAAATTTTGGTTTTTCTCATTCCATTCACATCTCTTTATCAATTCCGGCAAGTATTCTCTAACCAACGTTCCCATACCATTTGCGACAATCGCTGTGAAATTCTCCACCGTTTTCTTGAAGATAAGTTTTCAGCATACAAATTTACAAGACTATTTTTGTTATTGGAACCTGTGAGAAAGTGATTAGGTCTCACTACCTCCGTATCTTTAGGATATAAAGACATCTCAGTTTAAGACCGATTGTTGACCATATTCTCCACCTAGACCAAAACAGTTTTTAAAACCTCATCCATTGGAGCTCTCTCTTTAAGTATTGTGTATAAAAGAGACTTAACTATCAGTCACTCCCAACACCCTTCTATATGTTTGAATTCAGGGAGTAAAAGATGCGAGGTTACACATCTGTTCGTTTGTTCATCAACCAGTTGATTCACATCGATTTCTTATGACCTCCGATTCATTTTGTTTGCACTTCTAAGATGACCATTATTGCTAACGATGTGTCAAAACTATGTGCAACTTCAATATGTATTGCTCTGGTAGCCATACATGTAAAGTAAGGCACCATTCCTTTATTCTTCGCCGCCCAACAGTCATATAGATCGGTCCAAGATAGTCCATCCCTGTGTAAGTAAACGGAAAGGAATTTGCCGTCATCCTACCTTCAAGCAAATCTCCCATTATCGGACCTTTGGACTTTGGAATATTTTTGTTTTTTGCAAATCACACACTAGCTTAAGGTTTACTACGCTACATGCACTGAGAATCCAATAAGTTTGCCTCACTTCATTCACAACGTAGTTTGGGCTCAGATTTCTCATGGAACTGTTCCGCAAAAAGTTTTGTAAATTAATTCGTTCCAATGGAATGTAACTGGATCATAACTTACAATGGGGAAAAGTTTCTAATAACTTATTTGATGTCAAGCAACGGTGATAATAAATAATATTTACTGTGTTTTCTGTCAGATTTTGTTTTCCCTCAACAAAATAAGTCCTTCGCCAAAATACTCGAGTTGGACTTCTTTCCACCATAGCGTCTCCGCTGATCTGAAAAAAAAACTAGTTGACGAGTATCATGCTTGATTCTCTGTTTCCTTCTGCGACTTCTCCATGACTAAAATCACGTACGTCACGTAAGTGACGAATGTGTAAACTTCTTCTATTACCTGAAAATCTTGGAGTGATTCGATTTCTCCTGTCGGCCATTTAGACTCAGGTTGCTTAAAGAAGTTAGGACCGTTCAACCACCTGGTGCCACTATCTATGTTTTGCTTCCACCACTCAAGCTTAAATAATATATTTTTTATCCAGTGCAAGGCGATTCTCGACTATGTCCAAAAAACACCTAGATAATTTTCAAACATACTGACAATAAATTTATACAGTGTAGCAATTAAGTTGGCAGCTAATCATTCTAGTCTGGTAACACTAATTTGTTTGAGTGGTGCTACCCTTATCTTAGCTATAATACTCGTAAATGATGTCTGTACGTCTTAGCCTTCCCTTACTCTCAAATACACAGCACTGTTGTAAGTTTCCGAGCTACTAACACAGAAAATGTGGAGTTGAATCTCTGAATGTCTGTAGATTTTGAACTCACCAATTTTTTGTATGCTTTTTCTAAGTCACTGGGTCCAGTCGATTTTTGCCTTCTACACATCCTGTAGTAGCATATTTCAAAATATATTATAGAATACAAATATGTATCTAGTAGTTTGAAATTTGACATAATAAATTGATTGAAGAAAAAGTAATCGTCTTTAGGAATCCAATGAAGGCCTAAAACACGTACAGATTACCTCTCTACCCCAGTACTCGTAGCTTTTGTTTGTTGAATGTTTCGTTGGATTTTTTCTGAAACTTTCTTCGTTTGGCATGGATATATAATTACTATCCGTTTTATGGCTGCTTTATCATTGTTACAGCTGTCCAAGTAGTCTTCCATATAATGGTGATGGATTATCGCATTAGAAGCATCGGAAAATAAGCTTTTGATTTCAGTTGCATTTTTGTTCCTCACTGTTTGTGCAGAGCTGGCAGAACAAACGACTCCAGAATGCATAACTATTATTTCGTAAACTTATATTGGCTGTTCGTCACTATCTGGAATTCAGCAGCGGCAGCGTAGTGATAGACGTTATGGGTCTCCTAATCAGTCGCCGTGCGCTGCGCCGGTTCGAATCCCACGACAAGAGAATTTTTCTCTTGGCGTGAATGTTGTGGTTCTCCGTAAGTGGTAGACGGTCTCTGACTGTTGAACGCGGAGGTAC